GAGATTCTATGGAGGGGCTGTCAGGCCTTCTGGGGCTCACCTGTAGGCGAGGCCCACGTGTCCCGATCATCAGTGGGAAGGTTGGAACGTAGTGAGGAGGGGCTAGGAGGCATGAGAGGAGGAGAGGAGGGCGAGGGGACCACTACGGTCTCGGGACCCCCGTATTCGAAGCGCTGCAGTGGGTAGGGAATATAAGCCGTTGCGCGGAGCAAGCGTGTTAAAGTGCAATGCCACAATCGCGAGAAAAGTTGTCTGTGGTCCCCGTGATCCCCCGCGCAAGTTGTGAGTGGCAGACTGAAGCGAGTGTTGGCTCGACGGACGCCGATTCCATGAGACTGCTCCCGCGACTCTCTGTTCTACGCTGTGTCTTTCTGACGGCCCGCATGAGATCGGACGTCGGGACGCGAGGCGGGAGGAGACAGACAGACGGGAGGAGGGACGGGATACAGGCAGGCGGGGGGACTCGGAGAGGCAGGATGAGGAGAGACGGGGGGAGGGGAGGGAGGGGTGAGGCGAGGGGAGTGGGATAACGGAGAGGAGAGCAGACAGAGGGGGGGATGGAGGATTGGAGACAGTTGGGCAGGAACACTGAGAGTGAGTGGGAGCGGATGGGGGAACGTGTTCGTGCGGCCCCCTCCCCTGCCTCGGGTGCGGGTGGCGGAGCCGCTCGGCCTGCCTCCGGGGGGCCCAGCGAGGCGCGGGCCCGGAGCACGATCGAGCGGAGCGTGCTCACGGAGTGGAAACCCCCGCCGTGTCCTCAGCCGAGTCGGAGGAGGGGGCACGAGAAGGGCGGAAGGGTGAGGAGGAAGATGAGGCGGAGCGGGAGAGCGATGATGGGGAAGAGCAGGAGGCGATGTTGCTACGCCGTCCCGTGGCGCTGTGAGCCCCAGAGGAAGGGCGTATCTGTAGAAATGCAGGTTTACATGTACGTCTGTGCGCATATGCATGCTGCACGCATGCACATCATGTCTACGTGTATGACATCTGTTTACCTTTATTTCGGTCTGTCTCTGTTTTGCACATGCTTGCATGTGCACAGGCATTTATATGTGCATGCATGTGTTTGCGTAGATGCATGGGTACACGTGTATTGTGAAGGCCGTACGGTCAGTGCCGCCGACCCAGAAGGACGACGACGACGACCACGACGACAACGGCAACGACGAGCTGATGAGCCTGCCATAGGCTCGGGACATGGGGCGGGCGGTGAAGGGAGGAGGAGGAGGAGCAGGAGGAGGAGGAGCAGGAGGAGGAGGAGGAGGAGGAGGAGGAGGAGGAAGAGAATGAGGTGGAGGTGGAGGTGGAGGTGGAGGTGGAGGAGGAGGAGGAGGAGGAGGAGGAGGAGGAGGAGGAGGAGGAGGAATCTGGGGCCAGAGCCAGGCTCTGGGACAGGGCCGAGGCCGGGCCGAGGCTGGGGCCTGGCCTGGGGTCGGGGCTGGGGCTGGAGAGTCCGGGGCCGGGGGCCTGTCTCTGCCCGGACCCTGCGGGCACGGGGCCGCGGGGCCGGGGCTGGGGCCGGGATCCCCCGAGCAGGGCCGGGGCCGGAGCGGGGCCGAGGCGGGGGGAGCTCCCTTTGTTTTTCCTGCTCCACAGGGGGGCCACGACCCCCGGGTGGGGGCCACGACCCCCAGGGTGGGGGCCACGACCCCCGGGACCCCCCCCCCCCGGCCTCGGGGGGCCCCTGGGAAGACCCCCGGGAGCCTCCACCCCCCGGACCCCTCCTGCCGACCAGGAAGGGATCGAAGGGAATTCCCTTCGATCCCTTCCCGGTCGGGCGGGAGGGGACGTGGAGCTCCCGACCAACACTCCAACCCTATACGACGTCGAACAATGTCCTAAACATATGGAAGGGGAAGGGTTCTCCTTCCATATGTTTAGGACATTGTTCGACGTCGTATAGGGTTGGAGTGTTGGTCGGGAGCTCCACGTCCCCTTTCGCTCCAGGTGTTGGTCAGGAGCCCCCGGGAAGGAGGAGGATAGTGACGACGACGACATTGACGACGACATCGACGAACGGAAAAGCGTTTCAAACACGCCGACAGGGTCGGCGGATGTGTAATTACACTTGTACAGGTACGTACATATGCATATGTGTATGCATATGTATATCTCATGCTTAATCAATGATGTTGTACATGTATATGTTTGTGTATTTGTACATGTCTATAACGGCCTTCGGCCCATCCCGTCTCCATGCCTGGATTGTGGGTCAGAGTCCTCAGGGATGCTTCTTGGGGTCTCTTCGGAGCGCTCTCGGGAGCCTCTTGGGGGCAGTTTGGGGGCTTCCTGGGAGCTTATCAGGGGCCTCTTGGGGCTTACTGGGGTCTCTTGGGGGCCTCTTAGGGCCTCCTAGGGGCCTCTCGGGACCGAGGGCTCGAAATGTCCATTCGGGTCCTCCGTCTGGGCCCGTTCTTGGCGCCGTGTTGGGGGCCCTTTTGGGCCGTCTTAGAAGCTTCTGAGGCCGTCTTGGGGCCCTCGTGGAGATCAGCTGGGCCGTCTTGGCGCGATTTGGGGTGGGCTCTCAAGCAGTCTCGGAGCGCCAGGAAGCCGAGAATGCGAGAACGCCAGCATCCTCCGAGAACCCGAGGGAAAGTAATGATGTTTGCCTCGTGGGGCACACTTGGAAGCCCTCTTGGATGCCCCTTGGAGCGTCTTGGGGGCATCTTGGGCCATCTTGACACCATCTTGGGTCTTCTTAGAGAGATTCGGCGCCTCGGGGTCCGCTTGGACCGTTCGAGGGGCCTCTTGGGGCCCTCTTGGCCCGTCTTGGGTTTTTTTTTGGGGCCCGAAGCAGTCATGCTTCAAGAAGCGGCGCATCCCAGAGGGCACGCGAGAGGCCCAGGGATATTCAATACTTTGGGGTCTGGGGCCCTCATTGAATCATCCGGATTGGGGACGGAGGCTCAGAGAGGTTAGGCGAAGGTCGTGTGGCCACTCCAACTCGTGCCTCAGGGAACGGTGCCGGACCTTTATGTACATATATATATATACACATATGCAAGTACATATATATATATGTATATATGTGTACATGTATGTGCATGTAGGCGTATAGATATACGTGTATGAGCATGCGTATGCATAGGTGTACACGTGCATGTCGATGCCCCTATTTCTGCATGTATAAGTGTATGTATACGTAATGTGTCTATGCACGTATTCGTACACATTATAACCTCTTTCTGCAGATATGGCATACCTGTAGGTATGCACACGTGGGTACTTGCAAGCGTATATACGCATTTGTATCTGTGCATCGACGTGCAGAAGTACATGCGTACGCTTATGCAGTTCTACATGTGTGCAGGCGCAAGCGCGATTCCTGAGCGTCGAGGCCGCGGCGTTTGAATCCACTGCTAGGAAGTCCCACGCGAGAGCGCGATTCCCACATGCACTGTGAAGATGTTCCGCTCGAGAGCGCGATTTCTTAATGCCGTTCGAGGAAGAGCAGGAGCTGTTGTTTTGTCGTTCGGGGCCCAGCAACGCAGTTTGGTAATACCACACGTGTCCCTTGTAAAAACACGGCGCGGGCCCCGAGATGAGCACTTCCATTGCAAAACCGCAATGGTCACTGGGCAGGTGGGGATCAATAGTACTTAGTTTGTAAATAAGAACTCATCACCATCAGCAGCAGCAACAACAGCAATTACAACAACAACTATTCCCAACCATCCTCTGGTGTTTTGAAGAGTGCGCCCCGCGTTCCTCCTTCTCTTCTCCTTTCCTCTCCTCTCCTCTCCTCTCCTCTCTCTCCCCTCCACTCCCCTCTCCTCCTCCCTCTCCTCTCCTCTCCTCTCCTCTCCTCTCCTCTCCTCTCCTCTCCTCTCCTCTCTCTCCTCTCCTCTCCTCTCCTCTCCTCTCTCCTCTCCTCTCTCTCCTCTCTCTCCTCCTCTCTCTCCTCTCTCTCCTCTCTCTCCTCTCCTCTCCCTCTCCTCCTCTCCTCTCTCCTCTCCTCTCCTCTCCTCTCCTCTCCTCTCCTCTCTCTCCTCTCCTCTCGTCTCCTCTCCTCTCCTCCTCTCCTCTCCTCTCCTCCTTCTCCTCCCTTCTCCTCTCCTCTCCTCTCCTCTCTCTCCTCTCTCCTCTCTCCTCCTCCCTCTCCTCTCCTCCCCTCTCCTCTCCTCTCCTCTCCTCTCCTCTCCTCTCCTCTCTCCCTCTCCTCTCCTCTCCTCTCCTCTCCTCTCCTCTCCTCTCCTCTCCTCTCCTCTCCTCTCCTCATCTCGTCCTCTCGTCTCGTCTCCTCTCCTCTCTCTCCCCTCTCCTCCCCCTCCTCCTCCTCCTCCTCCTCCTCCTCCTCCTCCTCCTCCTCCTCCTCCTCCTCCTCCTCCTCCTCCTCCTCCTCCTCCCTCCTCCTCCTCCTCCTCCTCCTCCTCCTCTTCCTCCTCCTCCTCCTCCTTCCTCCTCCTCCTCCTCTCCCTCCTCCTACTCCTCCCTCCTCCAGCTCCTCCTCCTCCTCCTCCTCCTCATCCTCCTCTCCTCCTTCCCCTCTTCCCTCCTCCGCAGCTCGCGTGCGTCTTTCCACCCAGTGCAGCGTTTCGTGGCCCCAGAGGGAACTCCACCGAAGGTCCCAGTGGCGCAGTCCGCATGCGCCCCCCCCCACCCAGTACAGCCCAGCGTTTCATGGCCCCATAGGGAGCCCCACCGAAGGTTCTAGTGCCGCGGTCCGCATGCGGTTTTCCCGTCCAGTACAGCGTTCCGTGGCCCCATAAGGAGCTCCACTGAAGGTCCAAGTGGCGCAGTTCGCATGCGTCTCCCCCGTCCAGTACAGCGTTTCGTGGCCCCAGATGGAGCTCCACCGGAGGTCCCAGTGGCGCAACTCGCATGCGGTTCCTTTGCCCAGTACAGCGCTTCGTGGCACCATAGGGAGCTCGTCCGACGGTCCCACTGGCGCAGTTCGCTTTTGCCCCCCCCCCCCCCCCCCCGCGCAGTACAGACAGCGCTTCGTGGCTCCATAGGGAGCTCCTCCGAAGGTCCCAGTGGCGCAGATCGCATGTGGTTCCCCCGTCCAGTACAGCGTTTCGTTGCCCCAGGGGGAGCTCCACGGAAGATGATACCCACAATTGCGGTACTCATGTTGCATGTGGTGGGATTCTTCGCCATGTTAATTTTAAGATTGCTCGCTCTTACCTGCTCGTGTGCCATTCAACACGGATATCCCAAACCCTCGATACCCGCCCTTTATATGTCTTCGACCGCACCCCCTTAGGGGTATATCTTCCTTACTTGCAACGTGTAGTTCGTGCGGCCCATAAGGCAGGGGGAGAGAGGACGGATGGAAGGAAGGGACAAGGGGCAGGCGGGTTGCTGAAGCGTGCGTCCTGCAGGAATCGCGATGAGGTCTCGAGCGACAGCGCGATTCCCAAATCAGTCGTGAGGAAATCCACAGCGAGAGCGCGATTCCTGAGTGTCGAGGGCGCGGCGTCTGAATACATTTTAAGGAAGTCCCAAACGAGAGCGCGATTCCTGTATATCCGTAATGGCTTCGCCCCATGCCGCCGGCCCCTTGTCTCGGATAATGGGATATGTAAAAGCTAAATCATGAGGTCTGGGCGCCGCCGTGAAGCAGTGTCGGGATCTGTTTATTTTTCGACCCTGACCCTACGGATCCGCGTGAGGGGTGCCGCCGAATTTCAGAAATGTGGCAAATCCCCGGTGTTTTTGGACCCTGACCCTACGGCTCTGCGTGAGGGGTGCCGCCGAATTTCAGAAATGTGGCAAATCCCTTATGTTCTTGGACCCTGACCCTGCCGATCTGCGTGAGGGGTGCCACCGAATTTCAGAAATGTGGCACATCCCCTGTGTTTTTGGACCCTGACCCCGCCGATCTGCATGATGGGTGCCACAGAATGTCAGAAATGTGGCAAATCCCTTGTGTTTTTGGACCCTGACCCCGCCGATCTGCGTGAGGGGTGCCACCGAATTTCAGAAATGTGACAAATCCCTAGTGTTTTTGGACCCTGACCCTGCCGATCTGCATGAGGGGTGCAACAGAATGCAAGAAATGAGGCGAACCCCCGCTGTTTTTGGACCCTGACCCCGCCGATCTGCGTGAGGGGTGCCAGCGAATTTCAGAAATGTGGCAAATTCCTTTGTTTCTTGGACCCTGACCCCGCCGATCTGTGTGAGGGGTGCCACCGAATTTCTGAAATGTGGCAAATCCCCGGTGTTTTTGGACCCTGACCCCGCCGATCTGCGTGAGGGGTGTTAATTTTTACACACCCCAGCAATTCAGAGCATACGATTTGGGCGTGGTGAAAATGCCCGTTTTGGGCCTCCCCCCCTCGCGCGGTCCATCAACAAGGAACAGTAAGCAGCAAGAAGTCAACAAGGAACAGTAAGCTGCAAGAAGCAGAACTGCAACAGTGGATACTGGAAGCTGCAACTGGTACAGGAAACTGCGAAGCTTAGCCCTACAGCCTGGTGGCCCCACAAGGGGGCCGGCGGAAATTGTGAGGAAGTCCTGCGCGAGAGCGCGACTTTGAAATTTATTGAAAGGAAGCATGTGGCGGGAGCCAGTGTTGTTGTAAACCGAGGCCTAACGGAGGGGAGGGATCAACCAAAACTAATTTTCAGAAATGACTACTAAACAACCATCCTCACCACACTTCAGCTACGCGCCCAGGGACAGTGAATGACCGTTCGGCCCTCTCACTCTGATAATTTGTGAAATTAGGCACCTGCGTCGAGCTTCTTCAGAGCCTCGCAGTCTGATGACGTCCCCGCCGCCCCCTCACTCACTCTTATCCGCAACTGCGGCGTGCTACGTACATCCAAATTCTTCGATCCTCCTCCTCCTTCCTTTTCCTCCTCTTCCTCCCCCTCCTCTTCCTCCTCGTTCTCCTCTTGGCCGCGCCCAGGCCGGCGTCCAGCGAGGTGTGCGGCGCGTGCTTGCTGCCCCTGGAGCCCGAGGCGGACGTGGGCCGGCTAGACAGTTGCGCAATGGCCTCGGATGACTCGCCGTCGCCGTCGTCGCCGTCGCCGTCGCTGTCGCCTCTCGCCGTCGCTTCTCGCCGTCCCCGTCCGCGCCGCCGCCGCCGTCGCCGCCGCCGCTGCCGCCGCTGCCGCTGCCGTCGTTGTCGTCGGCGTCGGCGGCGTCGTCGCCAACTTCAACGTCGTGGTCGTTGTCAACGACAACGTTGTCATCGTCGTCGTCGTCATTGTCGTCGTCAACTTGATTAACGTCGTTGTTAACGTTGTCGGTGAGGAATGGGTATGCAGGGAGTTGAGACGGTGAATGAGGGACTGAGGATATGAGGAATGAGGAGGACGGGCCTCCATTGGCTTGCTTTTTCGTGGAGGAGGGGTCGGAGGACATGGAGGAACAGATCATTGCTGCCTGCCTTGCTTCCGACTCGCTTGCACCACTAGTCGTGCTTCACACGCATGCGCAGGCCACCCTCCGATCGGCACGTCCCGCCCCCCGCCGCCGCTTGGGAGCTCGCCGTCGTCTTGGCCGCCGCCAGCCGAGGCCCACGCGTTCCACTTCGCCTGCGCCGAGAGATGGCCGCGAGCCGCTCCTGCAGCCGCTGCCGCTCCCTCCTCCTCCTCCTCCTCCTCCTCCTCCTCCTCCTCCTCGTCTTCGCCCCTCCACTTCCCCTCCTCCATCTACCTCCTCCTCCTCCTCCTCCTCCTCCTCCTCCTCCTCCTCCTCCTCCTCCTCCTCCTCCTCCTCCTCCTCCTATGCCTCGCCGCTGCCGCGTACTGCTTGTTCTCCTCCTCCTCCTCTCCCCTGTCGTCGTGGTGTTTCTCTCCGATCGACAACACCGTCGAGGAGGCTGGCGAGGCATGAGAGGCTGGTTAAAGGAGTGGGGTGGAGTTGTAATTGTTTCACATTGCCTCGCCGCTGCCGTGGCCCCCTTGCCCTCCTCGTCCTCTGCACCACCCCGACGTCGTCGTCGTGCTTGTCTTACCGTCCTCGTCCTCGAGAACGGGGGATTAAGGAGTCGCACGCCTTTCGGAGGATGTTTTCGTATAGTTGTTCTTGAAGTTTTCGAGCATTCTTCCTCATGTTCCTTCTCCTTCTCCTTCTCCTTCTCCTCTTCCTCTTTCCTCCCCTTCTCCTACTCCTCCTCTTCCTCTGCCTCTCTCCTTTTCCTCCTCCTCCTCCTCCTCCTCCTCCTCCTCCTCCTCCTCCTCCTCCTCCTCCTCCTCCTCCTCCCCCCCCCCCCCCAGAATCTGGCTGCTTGCTTCTCCTGCGCCCCCCCAACAAAAAAACGCGGCGCGGCCTCCCGTTTTTTGTGTTTCTTTCTTTTTTGTTTGGGTGGGGGGGGCCTCCTCCTCCTCCGCGCTGCTCCGCTCCCTCCTCCTCCTCTTCCTTCCCCCCAGGGTCTAGCTGGTTGCTTCTCCTGCCGCCCCCCCCCACACACACATAAAAGAAAACGCGGCGCGGCCTCCCGTTTTTTTTTTTTTTTTTTTTTTTTTTTTTTTTTTGTTTGTTTTTTTTTTTTTTTTTTTTTTTTTTGTTTTTTTTTTTTTTTTTTTTTTGTTTTGTTTTGTATTGATTTGTATTGTTTCCTTTTTTGTTGGGGGGGGGGCTCCTCCTCCTCCTCCGCGCTGCTCCGCTCCCTCCGCCTCTCTCCTCTTCCTCCTCCTCCTCCCCCCCCCAGAATCTGGCTGATTGCTTCTCCTGCCCCACCCCAAACAAAACAAACGCGGCGCGGCCTCCCGTTTTTTTTGTATTTATGTATTTTTGTCGGGGGGGGGGGGCTCCTCCTCCTCCTCCGCGCTGCTCCGCTCCCTCCTCCTCTCTCCTCTTCCTCCTCCTCCTCCCCCCCTCAGAATCTGGCTGCTTGCTTCTCCTGCGCCCCCCCCCAACAAAAAAAACGCGGCGCGGCCTCCCGTTTTTTGTGTTTCTTTCTTTTTTCCCAACCATCCTGTGGTGTTGGGTCCTCGTTTTGAAGAGACGGTGCCCGCGTCCTCTCCTCTCCTCCTCTCCTCCTCTCCTCCTCCTCCCCCTCCTCCTCCCTCCTCCTCCCTCTCCTCCCTCCTCTCTGCGTTTCACCCACCCATTACAGCGCTTCGTGGCTCCATAGGGAGCTCCACCGAAGGCCCCAGTGGGGGTGTTCGCATGCGGTTCCCCCACCCAGGGCAGCGTTTCGTGGCCCCATAGGGAGCTCCACCGAAGGCCCCAGTGGGGGTGTTCGCATGCGGTTCCCCCACCCAGGGCAGCGTTTCGTGGCCCCATAGGGAGCTCCACCGAAGGCCCCAGTGGGGGTGTTCGCATGCGGTTCCCCCACCCAGGGCAGCGTTTCGTGGCCCCATAGGGAGCTCCACCGAAGGCCCCAGTGGGGGTGTTCGCATGCGGTTCCCCCACCCAGGGCAGCGTTTCGTGGCCCCATAGGGAGCTCCACCGAAGGCCCCAGTGGGGGTGTTCGCATGCGGTTCCCCCACCCAGGGCAGCGTTTCGTAGCCCCATAGGGAGCTCCACCGAAGGCCCCAGTGGGGGTGTTCGCATGCGGTTCCCCCACCCAGGGCAGCGTTTCGTGGCCCCATAGGGAGCTCCACCGAAGGCCCCAGTGGGGGTGTTCGCATGCGGTTCCCCCACCCAGGGCAGCGTTTCGTGGCCCCATAGGGAGCTCCACCGAAGGCCCCAGTGGGGGTGTTCGCATGCGGTTCCCCCACCCAGGGCAGCGTTTCGTGGCCCCATAGGGAGCTCCACCGAAGGCCCCAGTGGGGGTGTTCGCATGCGGTTCCCCCACCCAGGGCAGCGTTTCGTAGCCCCATAGGGAGCTCCACCGAAGGCCCCAGTGGGGGTGTTCGCATGCGGTTCCCCCACCCAGGGCAGCGTTTCGTGGCCCCATAGGGAGCTCCACCGAAGGCCCCAGTGGGGGTGTTCGCATGCGGTTCCCCCACCCAGGGCAGCGTTTCGTAGCCCCATAGGGAGCTCCACCGAAGGCCCCAGTGGGGGTGTTCGCATGCGGTTCCCCCACCCAGGGCAGCGTTTCGTGGCCCCATAGGGAGCTCCACCGAAGGCCCCAGTGGGGGTGTTCGCATGCGGTTCCCCCACCCAGGGCAGCGTTTCGTAGCCCCATAGGGAGCTCCACCGAAGGCCCCAGTGGGGGTGTTCGCATGCGGTTCCCCCACCCAGGGCAGCGTTTCGTGGCCCCATAGGGAGCTCCACCGAAGGCCCCAGTGGGGGTGTTCGCATGCGGTTCCCCCACCCAGGGCAGCGTTTCGTAGCCCCATAGGGAGCTCCACCGAAGGCCCCAGTGGGGGTGTTCGCATGCGGTTCCCCCACCCAGGGCAGCGTTTCGTGGCCCCATAGGGAGCTCCACCGAAGGCCCCAGTGGGGGTGTTCGCATGCGGTTCCCCACCCAGGGCAGCGTTTCGTAGCCCCATAGGGAGCTCCACCGAAGGCCCCAGTGGGGGTGTTCGCATGCGGTTCCCCCACCCAGGGCAGCGTTTCGTGGCCCCATAGGGAGCTCCACCGAAGGCCCCAGTGGGGGTGTTCGCATGCGGTTCCCCCACCCAGGGCAGCGTTTCGTAGCCCCATAGGGAGCTCCACCGAAGGCCCCAGTGGGGGTGTTCGCATGCGGTTCCCCCACCCAGGGCAGCGTTTCGTGGCCCCATAGGGAGCTCCACCGAAGGCCCCAGTGGGGGTGTTCGCATGCGGTTCCCCCACCCAGGGCAGCGTTTCGTGGCCCCATAGGGAGCTCCACCGAAGGCCCCAGTGGGGGTGTTCGCATGCGGTTCCCCCACCCAGGGCAGCGTTTCGTAGCCCCATAGGGAGCTCCACCGAAGGCCCCAGTGGGGTGTTCGCATGCGGTTCCCCCACCCAGGGCAGCGCTTCGTGGCCCCATGGGGAGCTCCACCGAAAGCCCCCGTGGCGCAGTTCGCATGCGCTTCCCCCACCCAGGGCAGCGTTTCGTGGCACCATAGGGAGCTCCACCGAAGGCCCCAGTGGCGCAGTTCGCATGCGGTTCCCCCACCCAGGGCAGCGTTTCGTAGCCCCATAGGGAGCTCCACCGAAGGCCCGCCCCGGTGGCGCAGTCCGCATGCGGTTCCCCCATCCAAGGCAGCGCTTCGTGGCCCCATATGGAGCCCCACCGAAAGCGGCACCCACAACGCGTTACCAACAATTGCTTATGGTTGGGTCTTTCGCCAGGATAATTGTTTTGGGGGGGGGGCTCCTCCTCCTCCTCCGCGCTGCTCCGCTCCTCTCTCCCCCGCCCTCCTCCTCCTCGTCCTTGCTCCAGAATCAAGGTTTTTGCTATTGAGATGCTTCGAAAGAAAGAAATACCCCAGTTGGCATTGCAGTGGCATTGGTTTGGCCATGGTTTGGTATCGCATTGGCATTGCGTTGGCATGGCTGGCAGTGCGTTTGCATTGCGCTTGCATGTCGCAAGCATTGCGCTGGCGGGTCCCAATGGAACCCTCCATAAAAGGACTCATATCGAAACCCTCCACCAGAAGGACGTCTATCGACACCCTCCACAAAAAGGGTTCATATTGAAACCTTACGCAGAAGGATTCCATGCGACGTCCTCCACAGAAGGATTCTTTCTGAAATCTATCACACATGCCTCCTCCCATTGGCGTTGCATTGACAGTGGGTTGGGATCGCCTTGGCATTAGTTTGGCATTGCGTTGGCATTGCGCTGGCGTTGTGCTGGCGAGTTCCAATGCCTCCCTTCGCAGGATGATTCCTTTTGAGCACCAAAGAAGAAGGGTTCCGATTGAATCATTCCACAAGGAGGGTTCAACTTGAACCCCTTCAAAGCAGGATTCCATTCGAAGCCCTCCATCGAAGGAGTCCTATTGAAACCGACCACACGCGAGTTCCCCCAGGCATTTCATTGGCATCGGATTGGGATTGCCATGGCATTGGTTTGGCATTGCGGTGGCACTGCTTTGGCATTGTGCTGGCGATTTCGAATGCCTCCCACCACAGAAGGATTCCGATTGTACCCTTCCACACGAAGGGTCCCCCACATGAAGGGTTCATGGTGAAACTCTCCACAGAAGGATTCCTGCCGGAACCCTCCACAAGAAGATTCCTATCGATTTCTTCCGAAGAAGTATCCGTAACCAAATCATCATCTGTTGAACGGCTGGAATATGCCATCGGTATTTCATTGGCATTGGTTCGGTAACGGTTTGGCATCGCATTGGCATTGCGTTGGCATTGTGATGGCAGTGCGTTAGCAGTGCGTTTGCATTGCGATGGCATTGCGCTGGCGAGTCCCAACCAAACGCTCCACAGAGGGATTCCGATTGTATAATACGTCCACAAGCATGATGCCTACGGACCCCCCCACAATAAGGATTCAAATTGCAACCCTCCACAGAAAGGGTTCCATGCGAATCCCTCCACAGAAGGATTCCGAGTGAAATTCTCCGAAGAAGGGTCCTTAGAAGGATTCTTTGTGGATGACATCATCCACCGAAGGGTTCTTAGAAGGATTGCTATTGAGCGCTACCACACGCAATCCACCCCATTGGCGTTGCATTGGCATTAAGTTTGGATCGCCTTGGCGTTGGTTTGGCATGGAATTGTCGCTGCT